ATCTAAAACAACACTTTCCAAACTATTCAAGTCTGATAAATATTGAACTCTGTGCCAATAGCCTTCATTATGTTTATATCTTGCACATTTGTGATTTTTCTCTTTTTCTTTAAAATAAGAACTCGTAATCTCACTAATAAATTCAGAAATTGCATTAACATCAATTTTGGTATTTGAATGTGAGTTATTAGTTATTGATAAAAAAATAGATAGCATTTGATCTGGCACTTTGTAATATGGATGAGGTCGAGGATAAGAAGAATTATTATTGTTATTGTTTTTGTCTTTGTCTTGCTGCTCAAACACGATACTGAATTTACAGCCTCGATATTGAATGTTTACTTGCTGTTTCTTTTCAGGTAAGATATTAAAATCTGGTATTTCATCTGATTCGTACTTTTTACTATTTGTAGGTTGAACTATAAATGAACTTTTATCTAATTCTTTTATTTGTTGTGAGATTATCCATGATAAGGCTTCATATAACCGATTTTTTTCTTGAATACCATAAATACCTAGAAATTTTATATTTTTTATATGATGTTAAAAATATTAAATTTTTTACTGTGTTTTCTCGAAACAACGCACGCTTAATTTAAAATAATGAATGGCCTGAATTACATATATTTGAACATAAATTTTGGGACACCTGAAAATTTTCTCATATCCCGGAATCTTTTCTATTTAGTCCGGTAAAATACCTAACTCTTCATAAACTACATCGCTTTCTCTGGACTGATAGCTTGAAAATAGCAATGAAAATTTCTGGAAAACAAGAAAAGTATTTGTAATTTAATTCTGCAATAAAGTAAGCCTACTTTGCAATTGCTGGAAGTCATCGCCCCACCAAATTTTTAATTATAGTCTAGAGTGTTATTTTGAGATGATACTTACCTTTAGCATAATATTCAATTTGCATTGTTAATGAATTTTTAATCTGAAATATCTGCAACAACGAGCAACATGTACAGATCAAAGTAGTAATTAGGGTAGCAAATAAGGTGGTAGTAAACATGTCTATAGTGATAATCTCCGAAAAATATGGCTCGAGTTTTGAGAGAAGCCATGCCAGTAAAACTGCTTGTAATTGTTCACGAGAGAACAATTTAATAAAAAGAAAAAAAATCTCTTTGATGTCATCCATTTGAGTGATTCCAGGGAAAAAAAGGAATTTCTATGAAATTTATATTATAAGCTCAGAGTTCAGGTTTCTATGT